CATTTGGTGTAAGGAGGTCCACCTTACACTTAGCCAAAGGTGTTTTTGCAGTTGCTGTTAGCCAGCAGCATCCCGGCCCCGATGCATAGCCACTGCTGTATGTAATAGGACTCCGAAGACCACATGAGAGAATCTACTGTGATTTTCACTGGGGATTTTGATATTCACACCTGGACTAGGTGTTGTTTGGGAGTCTGATAAGCATGTGTGAAACCAGAGGGGTGACTAGAATGGGGACCTTATTTGAAGGGAAAGATCTTTTCCTGAAACATCTATCAAGGACAGCACTGTTGTCTCGTATTTTCATGTGCAACAATAAGAAGGGAAAAAGCTAATCAAGCACGGTGTATCTTAGATACCAGCCATGTGTCTAACTGAAGCTCTACATGGCCATATGGCTGTGTGCGAAAAATAGAATGCCCAATAACTACGTAAGGATTCAAGTAGCATGAGGAAAAATAAAATATTTCCAACTTTGCCAGCCTGATAGTTAGTGAAAACACAGCTCTTGAACTAAGGGTTTCTCTCAGAGCTACTGGAACAATAGAGAATTCTGCTATGATAGGTTTAACCAAATGGTGTATAAGGCAAAATAATTTTCTGCATATGAAGAAATCACAGACCTTATCATTACGAGATCAGAGGCTGAAAAACAAAGCATGAGAGTTGCTCCTCCTTTCTCTACACTAGTGATGTTCAGAGGCAGCCTGTTATTGGAGGTGTTAATTGGCAAATTCAGTACAAGTCAAGAGCATGTTCCCTGTCGTCCTCGCCCAGCAAGGCTAGGTCATTAAACCGAGAATGGATTCTTTCATGCTGCCTTAACCCTTGAATTGCAAGTTACCATTCCACAAACATCCCCATGCTCAATCCCACCCCCATGTGTCAAGAAGAAAAACAACCTACACTGATTTAACGGCGACAATAAAATAACAGGAGGATGACATCTTGAGAGCCAGACTTTCAGTTGTAATTTTTTTTTTTCAAGTTGGCAGCTAAATGTCTTCAAAAAGTTCAGAAGTTTGCAAATACCCAACACTTCAGCCCTCCCCAAATAAAAAAATAAAATAAAAGTTGTCTTTACTGTAGTGGCTGAACAGTGAGGTTTTCAGAACAATAGCATCATCAAACTCCACTGATCAGTGCTTTTGTGTTCTGTGTATTGAATGGACCTCTCATCCGCCTGAAATGTGAGCCTCCTTTGGGGTTCCGGGTGCGATCTCACCACTGCCTCTGTCATCACTTGCTGTGACTGCCAAATCTCTGCTCCAGAAATCAGGGCTCTCAGACCACCACTGAAACAAACACAATGGAGAGGGGCCGTTCTGAGACTTTGCACAGGCAGCGATGGCTTCAACACATTTAATCGAACACAAAGTCAGCTCCACCACTTCTGCACAGGGAGCACAAGGAGCCCAACGCATGGCAAGACAACTGTGAGGTGATACTCTCAGCTCACAACGCCATGAGAGTTGGCAGTCTCTCATGCCAACGGTGACCAGTGCACAGACAGTTGAATATGCTTCTCTCCTAAGTTGTTAATTATCTAAATGACATTGATGTGAAGAGGGCACTCTAGCCATGTGACCTTAATCCACTTGCTATCTCTCTGTTTTGTTTCCATTTGATTAAACCCTTTAACAATCTATTTTTTCCATTTGTGTTATATTTCCTTAGCAATTGCACAATTTAATAAACATTGTTTAAATATTTAAAAGAGTAATTGTTGAAAATAATGATTTAGGGCAATGGTGACTCTTCGCTCTATTGTCTATTGCCGTTATAATCCAATTAATGGCCAATAAAGAAAAGGGTATGTTTCTTTTATAGAGTTGAGATATTTTAATCATTATTGTTGTTTGAATGTATTACAACACTAATTGCTTTGTATCAATTATTGTCAGAAACCAAATATAAACAAATGTTATGTCTATAGGGAAATATTACATATAGTCAAGTGTAACAACAAAACTAGAAGAAAAGGAAATGTCATAGATATTTACTACTTATTAAAATACATTTTTACAATTTTTGATTTATTTTTTATTAAAGTAGTTTTACTATATGACTGAAAAACCACAAATGAAAATCTCGCTTTGCACTCATTTGCACCTGACTGGTCTTCTTTAAATATTGGTCACAGAAGAATCAGTTATCTAGTTAGTTAGTTATATAATAAGTATTCACACAGTGATGTTTGAATTTTTAAACTTATATCCATCTCAAGAGAGGTGGTGCATTAATTTCATAACAGTTTCATAACACTCAAACTATAACTCAGACTTTTAATGGCACTGGCGTGAATATAGCCATTAAACTGCCTAGTATATTCCCTACATAACTATTACTCTTAAATGCATGTGAAACACTCATTGTACAATTATTTCAACTTGGATAGACGTAAGATAGCCTAAAAAAGACAATAACAAATTGCACGCAGCTATACTGTGCATGCTTCTTCCCTCTCTTCCCTACTTAGGAATGACTATAGTCCCCTGAAGCTGGTGACTTCCCTGTCTCCCCGAACTTGCTGCAGCACCGACTGATGGTGCAGAAGCACTGCTGATTAGCATGCAGTAATGATGGTGAGCTGGGCTCCATTGTTCTAACACCTCCCCTCTCCTCCGCACCAATCTGTCACCATTCAGTGGGCTAGAGCTGCCTCAAATGCTTCTCTCCACAAATGAGATGGATAATTAGTTGCCCCTCACGAATGCTGCACTCTTCTCACCCCTGATTGCTTTCACCTTCTTGCTCCTGGCAATTTTGACACCTTGTAATCAGCCTGCTACTTCTCCGTCTCAATCCATATCCTTCTCTCTTTTTTTTTCATCCTCTTCCATTTTTTTTATAGCTCTTAAATATATTTCAGATCTACCAGCTCCGCTAGCAAATGCCCCAAGGAGAAAGATGGATCTCGTATTTTTCTGAAAATGATGACAACAACAGTCATTACAGCTAAAGCGAACTTTTCACAAACAGTTCACATTGCTGTATACACCCGTGAGTAAATATAGTGTATGGAATTATCAAAATAAATAAATAAAAAATTATAGCTGTCGGTACGAGTTTCCTCTTCCAAATAACAATGAATGACAACATAATTATGAGCAAGCAGCTGTTCATGATCCCAGAGAGAAAAGCATGCAGGCAGCACAATGTTCGACTGTTCACAGATTAACCAGAGAGGATCATTAGGGATATGTATTTGCCAAAAAAAAGGAGAGAATAAATTCTCTTCTCGGCTCGCATGATGTGATGTGAGAAGAATTATGCGGTTTATATCACTCCAAAAGAAACATGCATTATGTCTGACACATTACGTCAGATCAATATGTAGGTAATATTCACGTTTGTAATACTCCAGTTGGCTGGTCTTTTCATTATTTCCCTCTACAGAAAGGTTGCATTGTGTGAGAATATTGCATTAGTCTAATGACTCATTAGTTCACGGTAGTTAATAGCATTATAACATCACTTACTTACACCCTTTGGAGCTATTTATATAATACAAAGACAGGCTCATCAGCAGATATCATTTAACCTCCTGGCGTCCACATATGTGGACATCACATTTTGGGTTATTTAGACCAAAATACTGAATTTTGCTCTACAAGGGCCTGATATCCACTTACGAGGACATTATACTGCTACTGTTCTATCACAATTTTACATGAATATCCTCATATGTGGCTCTTATTTTTATTAAAAACAAAAATAAGGTAAAAAAAAAAATCTGGTAATTCTTTGTTTTTACATTCATCGGGCCCCAATGTGACCAAATATCAAAGATAAATGAAAAATGCATGCCGTGGAAGAGTTCGGGTCTTAGGAGGTTAAATCTGAACTAACAAATCAGTCGGTCTTTTAGGGGTACTTGATTGTTGTAAGTGAGTTCTAATATTCAGCACTTGTAAAAAGAGAAAAAAATGTTGTTTGCAGTCTTCACACCAGCTCATCTATCCAGCACAAGTGTTACCAACCCAAAGCTGAAGGTCTGCAAGGGCCTCACTGCACAACAAAGTGTTCCAACACAGTGTCCCCGTTTTCTCAAACATCGTCACACTGAATGGTGAAAATCACTGCAATCTTTGCAAAGGTGTGAATAAATGCTGCGGTAGTCATGAAATGATGCTGCTGTTTAAAAATGATTCAGGTTTAGTCAAATGATCGCTACACACTGTAAAATATGAACGTGTATTTATAAAACACCTGTGTTTCCTTGTTCGGTCTCTTTTAACGTATCAAAGGGGAAAAAAACTGCCGTTGTTTTCCAGTCACATGACAGCGTAGCGGTGTAGCAGTGTAACGTAATTTAAAACTGGCACATCTTCAGTCACTTTATTACTTTGAATAGCACAGTTGAAATGAAAGAGGACTCATATCACGTTCCTATAATCATTAAAATAAATGCGCCCATATAAACAGTTAAATATTGCCTGTGATAAAACAATAAGTAGCAGATAGCAGGGTAATTTGCCATCTAATGAGTGAGAGTATCTCTGTGGATAATCTTAATGAACATATGGTCAGAAAAGTATCTGAAAGTTGGAAATGTTTCTACACCGAGATAAACAGCTGCTTCATATTATTCTGGCTTAAGTGAAAAATGGGGAGGAATGACGAGAATTACTACGTTAATCATTCCAGATATAATTTATGTTTGATTCATTTAATACAGATGATGGGCATTTCTAACACATAATATATTATTATTCCTTGAGATCCAAAACCCACCATAAAGTGAGAGAGGTGTCTTGTTTCAGAAAAAAAAGTGTGTGTGTGTGTGTGTATGAAATATTATAGCTTTAGAAATGTGATATATCTTTGAAAGTTCATTATTTTTAAAATAAAAATGTATAAACGTGCTAAAGATATAATATGAAGTAATATCACACGCACTCTTTGTTATGTATGGATGCATATACCAATCTATATATTATATATTCATACTGTATTATATATTTGCAAGTTGAAAACAAATCAAGTAATAAAAAATGTTACGAGTCTAAATGTGTTTATTTGCTCACATATACCATACGCATCACTGTAAAATCTCAGTGGGGTTTTAGAAAAATATAATGGGCAAAGAAATGTACCATTTAATTCTTCAGTATTAAATAAATGAATTCAAGTCTTATTGCAGTGTCATTTGAAGTCCAGTACAGCGCTTGTACTTCATGGCAGGCACGGCTACACCATGAAAACAGTAAAGTCTTGAAATAGTTGTGGCTTCTTCCCATCAGTCTCTGCTTCTACCGTCACTTGTCTGCTTCATTCTTATGAGAGAAATGCAAGTAGAGGTGGCTGTTCATTTGGTCTGGAGGAACCACAGCATTGCAGAAAGCACATTCAGGAGTGCTGCTCTGAGGTGTCTCCAGCTCTGTCCCCACAGCAGCTGCATCACACAGATCCGGTATCCAGACAGACTGCAGAGCAGGATGAATCAAAGGGAAGAAATGTATTATTTATGCTCTAAACTGTCCTTACAGTCACTCTACGCAGCCTACTACTAAAGTAGGCTGGACCACTTGGCCTCAAAATTGCGGTATCTGTTGCTTTAAAGAACACATGTCCCCTGTTAACCCAATAGTTAGAACAAATACTAGGCAGAAAAGTAAAGGCAAAATGCTATTCTCAAGTGTTTAATTAACTTACTATTTATGAATACTGTGTTCAAACTATCCAAATAGTCATACCTATTATTAATGCCTGTGTTGGTGTAATCCAGCGACTGAATCATATAATGAAAACTGGACCAACTTGCAGCCGTTAATGCACGTCATTCACTTTTTTTTACCCTATTAGGCATTTAGACACATCAGCAATAAAATCCCACTTAACCATCGTACTTGTTTCAAATCACATTCAGACACTGTAATGTGCTTCCATCTGGCTCACACTTTCCAGCAAAGATGCCAAATATAACTAGAGCATCCATGCTTAAGTAAAAAAAGAATCAGCACACATTACACAGTAATACGTTTCAAGTTTAGCCAAGGGGATATTTTTGGACTTCACACTGTTTCACTCCTCCATTAGTAAAGACCAATCAGAAACTGATAATTTGCTACTAGTTTTCTCAGACCTTCTCCTGTGATTCTCACCTGCTGGGGTCCCCGCACGCTCTCCTGGGAGAGTGTAGATGATGTTGTGTGGGAGGGGGAGTTAGGGTAGACAAAAGGCACGGACTCCTTCTCTGTCAGTGTGGAGGAGACATTACTGAGAGGTCGCGGGACAGCCATGGGTAGACCAATCTGTCTATCCGGAGCACTGTTCAGGAAGTCATATTCACTGTCCGCAGAGGGCGGGAATTTGACGCTCAGTTTGGTGAGAGATTCTACCAAGTCCTTGTCTTCCTGGCTGGTGCCACGGGATGCCAGAGAGGTAGACATGGGAGAGATATCCACTGTCCTTAGAGCTGAGGAAAATGGTCCCTCTGAATCTGCGGTACGGTCTGTGCATTGGATGGGCATGGAGAACCGCTGATCTGTTGAGAAGGCAAAAAAAATAAAGATTATTATTTATTTCCGAGTCAACTCGCGGACATAGATGTGGTTTAAAGACATTTGAAATTGGCAACGATTTCACAAGTTACACACATTTTAAAAAATGCCTAGTTTGTTTTTGCATTCCCATTTCCAAGTTGGCCTTTCAATACTTAGAGGTATATGTTTACTATAACCACATTTTTTTTTTATGTAGCATTATGTAGAACTGGCATTAAGCATTTTGTCAGTGGAATTATTAAATGTGTTTATCCACCTTTTTTCAGAGGTGGCCAGCTAAGGTTCGTAGGGCAATCAGGCATTCATGTACAGTCCGTGTCATGGTGTCGCTATCCAATTAAACAACAAGACAAAAAGCTAGTAAACTCGTAAGCTGTTATAAACTACACAAGCCTATTTAAATTAAACACGCTTTTTATGTGACCAATTAGAGAAAACAATTGCTTTCAGATTCAGACACTGAAAAACAGAAGGTAATAGTCAGTAAATATTAATATTACCATTTGATGCATCACTTCCTCCATGGAATCTTTTTAAGTAATCTTTTTGTCTTTTGGTTAAAGACCGGATCTGTCGAAATTTCCCTTCAATGGCTTCAAATGCTTCCCGCATTTCCTGACTGACAAACAGATAAAGCAGGAGTAAGGAACAAAAGAAAAACCATTCTTTTACCATAATGTTCATGGCTTTAAAAAAAGATTAACACATACTAGTCAACGCTGCTGTTGATTGGTATATTAGGAGCAACGGCAACAGAGCCCATATTCTCCTGAAAAAGACACATTAAATTTATAGTGATCATTTACAGCAATTACACAAGGGAATATTGTTCATACATCTGCAGCTTTATTTAAACATCACACATTTATATTTCCCAGCGAAAAATAATAATAACTGTAAAACTCAAGCTGCTGAACTGTGCAGCGATATTATCCTCTAGCACCATCTGGTGAAGTAAAAGTGGATACACTGAGTGAGGAGAGCAACAGAGAGTAGATACTATTACAGTAGCAAAGCAGGCCTGAATGCCTGAACGACAGGAAAACAAATAATCAGAACTATGTAAAATTACTAAAACATCATTTTGATAGGGTTTATAGAATATCACTTAGCTTTCTTTAAAGTACATGTAAACTTGACACATAAACACTGTCACACAACTAGAGTGACAAATCTGAATAAGCAATAGTTTAAGCTTTACAGTTAATACTGTATTCACTGAGTACTAGCACAAAGTGTTCTTTTAACATCCCTTTACCTTAACACACATGCAACATAGTAAAGCAGAAGTACCATTAACTTCTACATATGCGAGAGGAAGCCGTATGCGATCACATTTCTGATTTCCTAACGGGAAAGCTGTTTTGGAAATACAATATTGTAGTTTTCATAAAGCCTAAATGCAGAAAGAGCATGTTATAACTATAAACATACCGGGTACTGTAATTTCCTATAAGTGCTGGCCCCGTCAAGAAGATGACTACATGGCTCGCATTTCATTTCTCCTGAAAATGAAAACAATGAAAATGACCAGTTTATAAAAGAGGAAATTCAAATGAATTCTCAATATAGTCTGATAGTCCATCGCTTTGTTTACATCTCAATCCACAGAATTGAAAGCAATGTGTAAAGTAAATCCCTACTTGGTACACCAGCTGGGGAAAAAAAGCAGTAAAACTAACACATCAATAACAAACTAACACATCACTAACCTGATGGTTGCCTTGTTGCTGACAACTTTGCTTCAAGTTCTGAAATCAGTTGCTGTTGATCTTCTATCTGCTTTTGAAGGTCTCGAGTATATTGCTCATAATACTCAGTCTGTAAAATGGAGGTACTGTTATTTGTCTAGAACCAGCATATCCACTGTGGTCTAAGCACTGTGTTGTAGTTTCATATCTGGAAGCAGCCTAACTAATAATAATGCTATTCTATATATGCCATTTAATAACATAATTAGAATAAACATTATTTGTTTGGAAAGCTAGCAATGTAATTTGCTCTGGGATGTGTTGTGGTATATTGTTAATTCTTGGTCCATTCTGCACAAAGTTTTTAAAAAGTTGCTCTTCATCATTACCACTTTCTGCAGCTCCTTTTTAGCAATGTCCTTTTCAATGGAGACCTGACGATAAGCTTCAAATGCTTTATTGAGCTGGTCTCCGATGTTCCTTTCCATGCCTTGTGCTCCACAATCATCACTGACACAGCACACATGAGCCCTACGAGTGAAACTACAAAATGTTGTAAAACATGCCAACAAAAGGAAAAACACTCTCAAAAGACCCCGTGAACACTATTAGACCGGTTATAAAACTAAAAAGATTTCCTTTTTTATCCCCATCCCGGCCATTTTTATAACATTTTTACAAACAACTGTCAACTAGTCTTCGTGCACTTTAAAAATATTTTTTGAAAAAGTCAAGAAATCCTTAACGTGCTGCCAAATTGTTTTGGCTGCTTTAAATGAGCTACTGATCCAAATGACAAAACCATGCCAAAACTGAGTAAACAATCTTCAAAATATTTGCTTATTACCAATGAATGTTGGCAGGTCTGGTAGAATTAAAAATTCCCTTCATATTTCAACCATTAAAGCCTTGTTCTAGTTCTGTAAGGAATTATAAGAGCTGAAGATGAAGATCAAGTATTGTAAAGTAATGACAAATAAAGTTACTCAGTGCATGTGTAATATATGAGTATAACACTGGTGAAACAGACACTCCTTCTTGTTAGTACTGATCATCAGACAGCATTAAGCAATTCTGGGACGACTGCACTTCTGTCAGAAAGCTAAAGTGATGCCTATCATTATCTTAACTCCTGACAGCAGTCTCATAAAGAGCCGCTCAATTACGGAACAGCCTTCCTAATAAATGCCATAGTAACGCAGTACCTGTGAGCGATACTACACTCCAACAGCTCCTGGATAAGTAGTAGCCTGTAGCCACAGACTCAGTAAGTAAAAGGAGAGTAACGCTAATGTTGAAGCCTACCGGGACACAGCCGTGGGTCATTTTAAAAGAGTCGCTCAAAATCTTCTTTAAACAGTTCCGTATTCTTTAAAGTGTAAGTGTCTGACAAGCCGTAGCTTCAGCCGGCGTCGGATAAAGCGACTGAGCGAGAAGTCCTGAGATGAGTTTACCTCGCTGCCAGTGCGAGTGTCCTCTTACCTTCATTCGAGTAACTGTTGAAGTCGAATTTATTGTTTTGACACTACCGCAGCGTCGTCGCCTAATCTTGAGATGCAAAGTTACCAAGCGCTGGAGAGGATATGGCAATGTATGTTTTACATAGTCTAGTTGAGTTGGGAACTTCCCTCGGGGAATCCCCTCATACTGTAGACTTCCGCCTTTACTCGATTTTAGCCAATCAGCGCGGAGCTCACGGGAGAGCTGGGTGGTTAGCTGGTTGAGGGTTCTTCCAGCCTACGCGTCTGCAAACCGACTGTTGTGCATGTGAAAACTGTGCCCAAACTCGAGTTAAGTTGTGCTCATTTTGCTTTTCACATA